TAAATAATGTAAGATTTAGTTGTGTAGTTTGTTGAAATACAACAAAAAAGAAAAAAAAAAAAAACTTATCATAATCTGCCCTTAGCAAAAGACTGGGTTGTTTGGATGTGAAATTAAAGAAATTCCTGTATATAGAGGAAAGAAATTCCTGTATATAGAGGAAATGAAATCTTCCACCAGGAGATACAGCCGTGCAAGAAGCTCAGTGTCCTAAGAAAAACAAGTCTGTGATGGTGAGAAGTTTAGGTTAAAAGGAAAGTAGGTTTTGATAAAGGAAGCCAGACTTTGTAATTCAATTAATTTTCGAGAAACACATGGAGAGGGATTCATCTTACCGAAGGTGGATGTGAAAAATCAGCCAAAATCAAATATCTGGTCTGGCTGAGATCGATCTGATTTGATTTCAGGGCTTGAATCATCTCTCTGCATGAAGGAATCCAGTTCCCTTTGGCCAGGCCATCTCCACATGTCACAGCTCCAGTGTCCCTGTGCCACAGCTGGCAGCCTTTTGGGAATGTTCAGTCAGACAATCATGGGATGGTGAAGGTTGGAAGGGAGGCTGGAGGGGTTCACTGATCCCCTTTTCCCTGCTACTTAATTTTTTATAAAGAAATTTTAATTCTCCCGGATTAATTATTTGAAAAATCAGTGAATAATTCTTGCATGCTGACAAAATTACTTTGGCTTGAAGCTTCAGCAGGCCCCCCCTAGAGCTCATTTCTCAGGGTTGTGTCTGGATGGATTTGGAATATTTCCAGTGAGGACAATCCACAGCCTCTCTGGACAATTTAGTGCTCGGTCACTGCCCAGCAAAGTTCTTCCTCGTGTTCAGATGGAGCTTCTCTGCATCRCTTTCTGCCCATTCCTCYTGTGRYATTGCTGGGCCCCACAGAGCAGAACCCAGTCCATCCTCTGCCACCTCCCTGCAGGCACCAAAAGCACCGATAAAAGGTTTATATTCTATTATAAAACACCTCATTTGGCTCTGGGAAACACAACTGAGCCTCGAAGTGTGTGAATTTAACAAGATCTTGGTCAATGCAGTCAAGGGGTTCTTCAGAGCCATTCAATGGATTAAATAAAGGTTCCATTTTAGGAGATTGTTGACCCCAAAGGAGCTTAAACATCCAATTTGCACCTGGACACAGACACAATGAGATCTAAATTGGCAGTCATGAGTTTCTCAATTTCTTTATCAGACTCCACCTCCCACCTCCCTTTGAAGTCACTAAAAGAGACAGGATGGCACAAAATAATACAAATGAGGTTCTAACAGGAATTGTAAGGGTAAACTAATTAGTTTAGGCTGGCAATTCACCACAGTGGGAGCTCACTTTCCCCATTTACCCAGCCTCCATTAGGTATTCATAACCTAATGTGTGAAGTGTGGAATTTCATCCCCCAAGCAAACATCCGCAGCTGAGCCCTCATCCTCCCCTCCTCTCGGAGATGGTGGAGAGGAGCACGCCCTGAGGAAATGATTGTCTTGTCCTCCTCAGACATCCAAATTATGCCAGGCAAATTGCACTCAGCAACGGCGGCTGCGACTGTGAAAATAACCCGGAATAATCAGTTCTCATTTGCATTGGTAACGTCTGAAATTAGGTGAGACAAGTGCTGCTGTAGGGGGTGAGATGAGCCAGCTGCATGAGCCCCTTCTGCAGCCAGTGGAGAATTTGGGATATCCAATCAGAGGGAAAAGTCTGGGGAAAAGATGCCCTTTTGGTGGGGAGACCCTGGCACAGGGTGCCCAGAGAAGCTGTGGCTGCCCCTGGATCCCTGGCAGTGTCCAAGGCCAGGCTGGACATTGGGGCTTGGAGCATCCTGGGACAGTGGAAGGGGTCCCTGTCCATGGCAAGGGGTTGGAATGAGTTAAACTTTAATGTCCCTTCCAACCCAAACCACYCTGGGATTCCATGATTCTCTCTTTCAAGCAGAGACCAATATACACCAGTAACTGGACTTCATTGCTGCTAATAGGTTAATCACGCTTACCCAAATTCTATTTTATAGGCTCAGTCTATATCTAGGAGAAACATGAATCTTTTCTTGGCCCTCAGAAAGGCACCAAGCTTAGTCCTAAACCCGCATTTCAGTGAATAAAAGTCAGGGTTGTTCTCCTCTTGGAAAACGAACAGAATTTAAACTGAGTTGAAGTGGCCAGAGGAAAGCAAGAAAACAAATGAATAATACAATGCAGAAAACTATTTCTGAGGACAGGAACAGCTGGTCTGTCAACTCTTTATAGACTATTTATAGGAAGGAAGATTTCATTGTGTGTCACTGGAAAAAGCAACTTCCCTTAGGCTGGAAAAAAAGAACTTTCTTATTCTTGAATAAAGCACAATAGAAATAGAGAAGGGATCGATGACAGATTTAGGTGGGTTTTTTTTTTTTTTTTTCCAAGTAGAAATGCAAAAAGATTAAAGGAGTTTATTTTTAAAAGAGTTAAAKAATAAGTTTGTGGAAGAGGAGTACAAATCAGATAGGTTTTTCAATTTTGCAGAGCGTAATTGATGCTTGGATGGAATTAAATATACAGATCCAAACAGGTAGGACAGAATAATCCACATAATCCAAGTGTCTGTGGTTCCTGACTCTGTTTCTGAGGTATCCCCGAGGTCAGGCCAAGGAACAGTAACAGAATATGGGCACATATGGAGTCAGAATCCTAGGAGTCMATTTTATCCCAGAAAAACAGTGAATCAATTACAAAATGAGCATTTACAAAGGTTGGGAATGGGACAAACGATCCTCATGCAGGTCTTAGGACATCTCTGATTGCCTTCCCTTTTCAGTATCTCAAACCCAGCCCATGTCCTTCAGTTATTTTATTTTCCTCCTCTCACCCCTCTCTCAAGCACCCCACAGGGATCACCCTCAGGAATAAACCCTCCAGCCTTTTTTTACACCCTCCTCTTTTAAACACTGTGAAGTTTCTCTTTTAATTACAGTCGCAATATGTTCCTCAGTAACATCACCTTCTGCCTGARCACTGAATTATGTACTTTTGCTAATTACAGCCTGCTTCCCACAATCCCAGAGCTTTTTGCTTTGCATCTTCAGTCAGATTTACCAAAAGATTGTTTAGAGGTGTCAATAAATTCACCTTTATGCTCTGGCTGATGGCTCATACTGCAGTGTGGGGCTGGGGCACCCCATTTTCCAACCTGAGGAAATGCTGGTGGGAGCACTCAGAGGAAATTCAGGTGCATTTCAAGAAGGTTTTTTATGAAAAAGCCTCATTCAGGTACCATATGGTATCAAAAACCCATTCTCCAGCTTCCACAAAGGTTTTCAGTAGCTCAGCAAATGTCAAGTAATTTTCATTAAATGGCACCWATTGATTCAGAATATCCACGAGGGGGATTGGGAGGAATCTCAGGTCTGGTGCCTCATTGATTAAGTTTCATACCAACACAATGGCTTGTTGATGTTAACAAGAGGACGTTTTTATGCACATCTGTTGTATTCTGAGCCCAGGGTGATGCTGTGGAGCAGCAGGAAACAAAGGTTTTATCCTATAATTCTTGGAGAAAAAAAAAATAAAGCTTAGTTGGAGGGAGGATATCAGGCAATTTTGTGACAAAAAGTAGGAAAATGCCTCGGAGCATACAAAAATATTATGAGAAAGAAGTATTATTTATTTTCTGTATTATTTCATTACTGGATCTTCTTTGGGTACACAGAGAGAAATAGCAAAGAGTGGAATGAATAAAGCAAATCAATATGAGAACAGAAATTTGGTTTTAGCCTAAAAAAGGATTTAACTCTTTTAGGATTTGTTTAATKAAGGGATATTAGTTGACTAAGGAACTCAGAGACTTTAAAACAGGTGAGGTTTATAACCACAGATGTTATAAAAACCCAAAAAACAGGCTTTGTTTTCTTTATTAGGAGGGAAATATATTCTTACAAGAGGAATTTCCAGCTAATTAATTTAAATCTCAGGGATGGGAATGTGGCCTGCTTTTTTGATCAGATAGGAAAGCAGATGGGAGAGAGGAAATGTAGGAGGAAGCAAACACTGAGAGACCAGGTCAGCTCGATWAAGCAAGCTCTTCTCATAGGGACTGCTCACAAACACTCATGTCAAAAAACTACACAAAYATCTACCCCAAAATAAAGTGATTCTCACTTATTTTAGCTCCAAACTGGTTGTGATGACCTAAAAGACCTCATTTAGGTGACCTTTGAGTCAGTGAATAACAGAATCCAGCTGAAATACAGGAGGCTGAAATGTCACACCATGTTCCTACGGTGTCATTTTTGTGTTTTCAGTGTGGCTCCTGAAAGCAATTCCCTTTGAAACAGAGCAACCAAATTCCTCTGAAATCCAMCCTGTTGTGAGGGGAGATGGTTGGGGCCACAGCTCCATCTCCTGACCTAAATTGTTCTGTTATTCTCTGATCTTGCATATTCTCATTTGTTGAATTATGTTCAGCAGGGTTATGAATTATTCCTGTGCTGGGGGTGTTGGGTAGGTCTCTACTTTGCATTTTCCTTTGCTTTGGAAGTYRGAACTGCCTGATACCATGTGGTGCYTRCYTTGTAGCAGGATCCTAAAAATTCTTCCAATGTGACAGGAACCACCTTACTGACCAGTGAAAGTGGCCACATCTTTATATATTCATTACACACAGGAAAACCAGTCAAAATCAGACTTCAAATAATTTTTAAAAGTTTCAATCTCTTTATTTTCTCATAAACTTGATTTTTGGAGTAGCGTTTGAGGCTTACCTGTGCAGGTCAGTGACCAGGTGACATTTTGCACTAATGAAAAACAAACATAGAAAAGAGAAGGTTTAAAGAGAATTAGGTTAAAAATGTTATATATTTATACAAATTATATACAAATATTATATACAAATATTATATACAAATATTATATATAATATATTATATATATTATTTACAAATGTTATATATATTGTGTATATCTGAAATATTTATTTGGAGCTGGAAAACCAGATACAGGATTGAAGGAGAGCTGTACACCTATGGACAAAGAAACAAATATTTCTTCCAATGGCATTGGATGCCTATTTTGGGTAATTTAAGCAAGTCCCAAATCTCCTCTGGCTGTCCAGAACTTGTGTGTTTAACACCACTGGGAAATAAGGAATGATAAACAGGATATGAGACAGCACTTCAATCTTATCAAGAAAAACTGCTTTTGTCATGTCCATAATTTTGATTGTCCCAGGTCCTGAAAATAGTTTGGTGTAACACATAATGGGGCAAAGGCCAGAGCTAGTGCCCAGGTCCTGTGAACCCTGACATTTAAAAAATTACCTTTTATTGGTTTGTTTGGTTTTTTTTGGGTTTTTTTTCCCCAAAAATCTAAGCTGTAGTCAAGAAAAGCTTTAACTCTCTTAACAGCAAGAAATAAACCTGAGTTCAAGACATCTTTGTAACACAGGGGCCAAGAAGACCTTATGCAAATTGTGGAGGAGATTCTGTCATTGCAYAAAATTTTTCACCTGAGAGAAATAGAGAGAACCCAGAAACTCCATCCCTAAGAACCCCAAAGTGAATCCCACACGGTCAGACCCCTCAAACCCCAGATCCTGGGAAAATCCACAGCCACACTCARCCCCATCATCACGGGGGTGAATTCAGCCTCTCCTCTCACAGAGAATTTCTGCTTCCAAAAACACCCCAAAAACACTCATCGCTGTCCCAGCTCCCTGATTTGCAGGTGGGCGAGCAGGGGACAGGTCCTTGGGGGTGAATCCGATATCCCAGGGGGATCGTGGAGAATCCCTTCCCATTGTTTCCATCCTGCGGGGGATGCCGGGGGTCTGCAGGGAGCTCGGAGCSTCTCGGGGCGGGTCTTGAGCAGGTGGGGGCGGGCTGAGCCTCGGCTTTTGGCAGCATCACACCCGGCAGAGGCAGCGGCAGGAGCGGCGGAGCCTGAGGAGGATGCGAAGTTTGCGCTGGCTGCTGCTGCTGCCGCTGGTGAGTGCCCGGGGGGAAATATGGGGCGGGGGGGTGCACAGCTGGATCCCGGCCACAGCTGGATTCCGGCCACAGCTGGATCCCGGCCACAGCTGCATCCCAACCACAGCTGGATTCCGGCCACAGCTGGATCCCAACCACAGCTGCATCCCGGCCACAGCTGGATCCCGGCCACAGCTGGATCCCGGCCACGGCTGGATCCNCGGGGGAAATCTGGGGCGGGGGGGGTGCACAGCTGGATTCCGGCCACAGCTGGATCCCGGGCACAGCTGCATCACGGCCACCGCTGGATCCCGGCCACAGCTGGATTCCGGCCACAGCTGGATCCCGGCCACAGCTGCATCCCAACCACAGCTGCATCCCAACCACAGCTGGATCCCGGCCACAGCTGCATCCCAACCACAGCCGCATCCCAACCACAGCTGGATGGCTCTGCGGCTGCAGCCGGGCCGGGGGGGAAGTCTGCAGAAGCTGGGTAACTTTTCTCCTAACGGAGAGCAGGCAGATAGAAAAAAAAAACAAAAAATAAGGAAAGGATTAAAAAGATATAAAACGACACAGAGGTGTTAGAGGGGAGGAAAGAAAAAAAATATCCCTGAGTTAGAGTTTTGAACTAGCTGCTTTCATTACAATTTTCTAGCCTTGAGATGCTGTTAATAAATGTATTTTCATTGCCATTCAGTAGAAGTGTGGTTTCCAAAGTGCAGAAGAGCACCCCTAAATCAGAAGGGCTGCAGCAGGGACAGAAAGGGACAGRTTGCTGTCYCGGCTGTCCTGAGAAAGGCARCTTTGCAGAAGAAGGAGGGTGACTRAAAGGAATTGTTCCTCCTGGTGAATGGGGCACCTTCACCTTTTGGAGAGGGCAYGGGTGTTTTCAGTGCTGAAGGTTTTGAACATCACCAAGCAGGAGCAGGAACTGTCTCATGCCTGTGTGAACTCAGGGCAGCAGGTGAGGCTGTGCCACTGCACACCAGGGAAGAGGGATCAGCACAGGGACAGAATCCAGGCACATCCTCCATCCCTGATCCCCACACTCCACCACTGGCGTGCCTGGGCTGCTTTAAAAATCCCTGCAAGCCCAAACACAGTCATTTCTCTTCTTTCCCCTCAATCCTCAGCCTCGGGGAGGTGTTTRGAGCCCTTCCTGGGGGTGTGATTAGCAGGGACTGGTTGATTCAAACTTCGGAATATTCAGCGTGGGCTGGGATTCAGGCTCCTGCTGTAGCCAAGAGGGGGACAGTCMCCTTCCCCTGAAATATTCCATCTTGTCCTGAGAAATCCAAATGGAATTAATGCTTCTCCAGGGTTTTCCTCTGTTGGTAATTGTGAGAGCCTAAATGGTTACAGACTGGTCTTGGCTTTTCATTTTTAAAAGGTGAAAGATGAAATTTTCACACCTGCACAAGTTGTGGATCTCGTAGTTTCCTTTGTATTTGCACAGATTTATGCTCGAGGGAAAGGTTGTAGGTYCTTTCTATGCAAAGCTCACCAGCACAGTCATTATCATGAGAAATAYTCTTCTTTCAGGCAAAATCAGTCAGCCTTAAGGGCTGAACTGCCACAGGAAAAGTGATTTTCTCCTCTGGACCAGTCTTTTTACACCTAAATAGAGGCACAACTTATTCTTTCAGCTGCCAGCAGAGCAGAGCTGATCCGGAGTGATGGATCACACACATCTGTGGGCTGCCATACATCATTTTCATATTGCAGCGTATTGCAGCAGGCTGGGCYCATAATCAAAGAAATTCTATAAACTGCGTGATCCAGCAGCATTTGGCCTCAAACTATTGCTCAAATGTGAGCATCAAATACTTGTCTGGTGAGAAACAGGGCTCTGAATGTCAGTGGGGTTTGTGTCTCAATCGAGGTCTCTTTGCATGCTCAGTTAAACAGTCAGGGAAGGCCTGAGACCCTTAGGAAATAATCATTTCCTATTTCAAGGGACCCTGTCAGAACAGAGAAATCATTCCTGAATGGATTCTGTGAATGAGCCGTTATTCAGATACAGGAATAAACCAGAGGGTTAATCCTGAAGAACTTCCCCTGAGGAACTGGGTAGAGTTACCTSCTGTCAGCTCCACGGGGATGTTGCAGGATACACTTTGTGCCTTGCAGAACAGAGTCCTTGACACGAACARAATTACCATTCACTGGTAAGTGACAAGGAACAGAGAGCAGCKCAGGCTGAAATGCCTAAAAATGACTTTTCCTGTCGTAAAGAGTTCAGAGACTCAGGAAGCAGAGGACAAGGAACAGAAAARGCTCTTCATTCACTGCTCTCCCTGCTGTGCTAAACTCCTTTCTTTCCAAACGCCGGCATTTCCCATTTCTGGGAAAGGTTTCAGTGAGATTTAATGAACAGAGGTGAGAATGGCAACACAGATGGGCCATCACTGAGCTTTGCCTTCCCTTCAGCAAAACCTTTCTTGTGGTAATGGCTCYACCGGTCCAAACAATGGCAACACGCTGAACTCTCAGTAAAACAAAGCTAAATTCCTGTGCTGGCTAAAATTGGCTAATTTGTGCTGCTTCTACCAATCTGGTCCCTGCAGACCTTCAATTCATCTCCACAGGGAGCTGGATGTGTGGAAAAATCTGTGTTTGGGTGTTTCTTCAGCCTGGAGGGAGTTAATGGAGGGAGAAGCAGTCACTGTCCTCAAACAGGTGTCTGARGGAGGAGGGAGGAATCTTTCCCTGGAACTCCTCGTCTGCTTTCACTGATCATTAAGGAGGCTTGATGGGGGAATTTAGATTAATCATCTCAAATTARCTGTCTAAAATTAGGAGTCTGGTCTAAAGGTACTCACTGAGCATCCTTCAGTTGGGGAGAGGTGGAAACACTCCAAGAATGCAGATCAATTGAGTATACTCAACGATAGACTTTGGCTTCTAGGTTTCAGGACTTTGGGATTAGATGATTTGAATTCCACCTGTAAGCAAAAATAAAGATACAGAAAGGGAGAAATTTCCCTTTTATTTACAGGAATATTTGTAACAGCAGAAATTGAGTATCCTCAGTTATTATCGTTCTGTTATTTAAGCGTCAGTAATAATTAAATGCTGTACATAATTTAGCACAGAGCTGAGAAATTAATTTTTCTCGAGGTAATACTAATTACACAGGGTTTTATAAGCAAAATAAATTAGTATGGCTGTGTTGTCTCATAAAGAATACCTATGAGTGAACAAATATAATGATATACATGTATAAATATGATGCACATGGATAAATATAATGATATATATGAAAAAAAAATATATACGTGGATAAATATAATGATATACATGGATAAATACAATGATATACATGGATAAATATARTGATATACATAGATAAATATRATTAAATACATGGATAAATATAATGATAYACATGGATAAATATAATGATATAAGTGGATAAATATAATGATATACATGGATAAATACAATAATATACATGGATAAAGATGTATAGCAAGTGCTGTTCTGTGTAAGGTCATGCAGTTAAACACAGCCACATAAACACAGTCCAATCCACAGAGGGTCATTCAAGCATTACTCCAATGCCTTGGAAACAATATTGAAAATATGTTCCTCTAAATTACTGYGAGGCAATCAGTGTCTCAGCTTCCCTTCTTCCATAGGTAATCGAGTTAGAGAGAGAAAACAAACACAGAAAATATCCTCCAGGTAGTCATTTTCAGCCAAAAAAACTCCTGGAATAATCTGTTTAACTGACTAAGGACAAAGATGGGAAATGAGGCTTTAGCTTTGGGGTTGGGAACTTCTGGGATCAGGAAGCTCTGAGGGGGTSACCTCATGATTTTCAGTCCAGGTCCAGAGTGCTAAACTCGGCTTGGGGATGGTGGAAACAACTTAGATGGATGCTCATCTATTCTTACGAGTGTAATGAAGCTTGTAAAATTGGAGTTGACTGTTTTTACTGCCTAAGAAATCTTTATTTTTAATAATGTYTTGCTGTTTTCTGACAGAATATGATACTACACATATTGCATTATAAATATCCTAGAATTACTTRTGGGCCAGGGGTTGGACAGGAAGGKTTTTGCTGCACAGACTGGGAATGTAGCTATGAGATGGACAGGAGCTCATGGAGATTGGGGCTGGCCCCAGATCCCTCCAAAACACATGTGAAATTTGATTTAGTGTCCTGTGCTCCCCAGTCTCAAAGATTTTTAACTTGCACTTGGCTTTTTTGGAAGGAGTTCATCAGGTGGAAGATTTTGATGAGATGCTTTCRACAGACTGGGAAGTTTATGAAAAAGCTGAGGTTTTCTTTGTTTTGGTCAGTTTTTTAACTTGTCCTCAACATTTTTTTTTTCCATGACCCTTCCTCCAGTCTGTAAGCCTTTCCTGCCCATCAAAATTTCRCTGCAAAAAAGGCCAATTTTCCGGGCTAAGACAACACATCATTCCACACTCAAATGGGGGTGCAGGAGTTGTCTTTGCTGTGTTTTTCTGTGTTTTAAAATRCCAGGTGATTTTTAATCCTCCAAGGCGGGACCCCGTGTGTGATGTGAATAACAGACAACTTCATGTGAGGGAAAATTAAAATATTCAGGCATCAGAGTTGTGTCAGAAGAACTGTGGAAGCACATCCAGTAGAATTAGGGCTGCAGGGTTGATTTCAGAGCATATCTGAGATGGGATCTGAGACAGGAACACAAGCTGTGGAGACAGAGGCAAAGAGAGCAGCGATGAATGTTCCCAGTCAATGATTTATGTACTTGACGCAAAACCTATTTGTGAGGCTTTAGGGTTGCTCTGGAAGCTACAACAGATCACTGGGAAGAGCCCTCGTGTTCTCCAAGCCTTCTCATCTTGTCAATGGATTCAACCAATTCTTCGAGCTTTGATTAATTTTCAAAAAGACTGAGTGTTACTGCTGGCTCTTTGATCCTGGGGAATTGCTTTTTCAGAGGTGAATTATATATTCAGTGCCCAGCTTTGAAGCGCTTCCCTTGTTTTCAGAGAGCATAGAAAATGTCTCTACTTTTCCCCAAGTGTGCTAATGGACTTCTTAATGATTGCAGCTCTATTTTTTTTTTTTGTGTGACATCTAAATTAGAGTTTTTCTACCCCCCCACAGCAGCTTAGGGGCCCCATTTTTTGGGTGGACTCTTAGGAAAGATTGCTTTTAATTAAATTGTGGTAAGCATGGCATGAAGATGTTGCTAGAAAAACTCCTCCCAGTGCTTGCTAAATCTCTCATTGTCCAGCAAAAGTAAATCAAAGCCCAAAATGCCATTACTTTGATTTTTCTGTGCGGATTTGGAGAAATAAATAAATTGTCATGGAACAGTGGAAATAGACAGCAATGTTATACTTGGTCTCAGTGAATAAGCCACTTGAGGYTTCAGTGCAATAACCTTCCAGATGTAAAGAAAATGAAGTCTAAAAGTAAGTGCGAGCCTAAAATCTGTCTCTCCAGACAGTCTCAGGTTTTAGCATGGCTCGTGGTTGCCACAGGTAATTTTTAGTGTGCACTCTGTTCCAGGCAAGATTGAGTGGTAAGGACTAGGAGACAAAACACCCCTGCGAATTTTGGCTGATCAATAACATGCAAGGCACTAAAAAGAGCTTTGTGTTATGATGCTCAGGAATAAAGAGCTTGATTCCTTGAGAGCTGTGCACAGCACTTCCTAAAACCTCTAAGTTTTATGGTAAAATTTGGAATGAAGGCACTCCAGTGCCATTTCCAGTGAGAGTCAGGCCAGGTAACTGCTGAGAYACTGGGAGATATTGACCCAAGAATCAACATTTTAAATCAGCCTCTTCCACTCCTTCCTATGGCAGGATCACTGTGCCAGACTGGACAGGTCTGCCTCAGAGAGCTCTGCTCTGCTTCATGAATTTTCCTTAAGGTGAGCAGGAGCTACAAAAGGCTCTTTTTACAAAAGCCATATTTTCAGCAGGCCCCTCCCAAATTGCCATAATATATCCCAAACATAGAGCTCCTGCTTTCAGTAAGGCTGCAATTATAATATATATATATCAATTAATAACCCCATATATAAATTAATAACTCCAGCCTTGTTTTGGCTTCTTATGGGACAGTCTGTAGGTTACATCTGATATAGWACTCGTTGGTTTTCAAACACCGAAGTGTCAGTGATATTTAATCTATACTCTGGCCCAGGATAAAAAGTTTGGCTCCTGAGGCTGCAGCCCTGCCCACCCCAAATGCAGGAACCCAGAAGCAAACAAGCTGTGAGCACCCTGGTGAATTGTTCCACCTGTGGGTGTCAGAGGGATCGACTGCAGCATCACYGTGGGTATCAGAGAATCCCAGAATGGTTTGGGATGGAAAAGGACCTTAAAGATCTCATTCCAACCCTCTGCCATGGGCAGGGACACCTTCCACTGTCCCAGGCTGCTCCAAGCCCTGTCCAGCCTGGCCTTGGACACTGCCAGGGATCCAGGGGCAGCCACAGCTGCTCTGGGCACCCTCTGCCAGGAACTCCCCATCCTCTGAGTATCACTACCAGTTGATCAGGATTTCCACAAGAAATCCTCAAATCATATTTTCTGAGGATGTATCACCGGTTTCAGAGGCAGAAATCAGGACTACACAGACCTTTATCWGCAATTCCTCTGTCCTGTGTAAAACCAAGGCAGCCCCCTCTCCCCAGGGGTGGGATATGCACTTCCCCAGCAATCCCAAATTAAGAATATCCCCATTTTCCAACAGCTCTGATGAATGATGGTGACTGAGGTCTGATTCAGCAGGTGTGGATTTACCAAAGGAGAGYAGAGAGGAGCTGCAGCCTCCTTGGAGCAGCAGGAGTCTGGCACACTCACTCAGTGTCCCTCATGCCTCCTGTCTCAACTACATGTGTCACTGAGGCTGACTTTTGGAGAAATTATATCTCTTCCTCCTCTGAAATTGTTCAGAACTAATTCTGCATGTTTCCAGCATTCCCAACTTCTCTGGCATGAGGTGGGAGTTAATTTAACCCACCTCTCCTCAGTGTTTTTTTTCTAAGCTATTTCAAATTTTGTGGTTTTGTTTTCATTTTGGGTTATAAGTGGCTGTTGCTTTCGAGCCTTTTAGCAGAGGACTCGGCGTAGATGGTAGAGCTACACATCTCATTGTCGTGACTTTTAAACATTAAGTTTAAAARTATTCCACATACAAAATTTGCCATCTGTAACAGAATCCAGGAATTCCAGAAAGCAGAGGGATGGCTRTTTTTCCTGTCCAGCTGAATCCATCTTCATGACCTGAAACAGTGAGAGATTTTATGGAGCAATTAATTTGTTGCTTCTACTCAAATAATCCATTTGTTATGTGGGCAGACTGCAAAGTGAAACATCTGTTTAAATGTAAAGKGATGAGTGGGGATCCTATTAACACCTGAAAATTGCATTTCAGAATTGAGTTACTATGGTTGAAGAGCAAATTTACTATTTTAAGASTCACTCGTTCTGATTTATAAAACATATTTTGAATTACCAACTGGAGTAATATAATGCATGAAAAAAAAAAAAAGCATTTCTTAACTTTCTTTTTGAACAATGCCCTTAATCCTCTTTTTGTTTTAATATTAGCATGCATGAACCATCTCTGGGGCCTCATAATTAAAATGAGTCTGGCTATGCTACTTTAAACYCCAAATGTAGGCAGGATTTTTAAAGGTTTTTAAAAGATAAAGTTGTGTTCTGGTTTTTGCCCCTCAGCAGATATTATTGGTGAGATGGGATCRTCTGCCCAACTTCCAGTAAATTTTCTGTGGAGGCTGAAAGAAGTCCTGGTTGCTCTGCTCACTGAAAACATTTTGAAGGTCAATAAATCACTTTCTGGAGATGGAAAAGCAATATAGAAGTGACGTTTGCATCTGCACTAACTTTTCAAAGTCATTAGAGGTTAAAACTGCCTACGGTCTTCCTCAAAAAGCATCTTGGAAAGATTTCAACCCATGTTGAAATTAAAATCATTAAAATCACCCTAACTGCACTCCTGGCTTTGTCTTGAATAACAGAGGCCGGAAAGAAGCAAAAACTCTGCTCTATTCCATATAAAACTCCCTAAATCTTGAAGATCCAAATATCCCAAAAGAGATTTTGGTCCAGTATCCAGTTCTCTGAGTAGAGTTCAGTTACTTTCTTTACTCAGTTGAATTTGGGTTTAATCCAATTTCTTAAAGATGGGTGTGTAGGAGTGTTTGAGACTTCAAATAATGCACTTGAAACTTCAAATAATGCATTTGAGACTTCAGATAATGCATTTGAAACCTCAAATAATGCATTTGAGACTTCAAATAATTAATTTGTATATTCAAATAATGCATTTGTGTCTTCAAATAATGTGTTTGAAACCTCAAAAAATGCATTTGAGGCTTCAGATAATGCATTTGAGACTCCTACATGGGGCTGACAAAATTAATGCAGAGTCTACACAAGAGAAATGGGATCTTTTCAAACATCCCAAACAGCACCAACCATTTCTGGGTGACCGAGGCATCCTTGAAATCCCCACGGGCTGAAAAAGAAGCTGAGATAATAAAATCACACATAGATACTGACATTGTGGTTTCTTTCTTAGAGTTTATTTCCTTTTGCAGAGGAAATAATTTGGAATTGTGTAGGTTATTAAGAATACCTTCACAATCACAAGCGGTAGGATACAGGGGATAAAAAAAATCTGGAGTGGGAGAAGGTCAAGAAAAATRCATGTCAGCATATAAATGAGACTGAATATCTGTACCTAAGAGGATGAATTTAGACCCTATTTAACAACTGCTGTCTAGAAATCCATTTAACTGCTTAAATGTACCTTAATCTGTGAGAGAAATAAATTACTTAAGCTTCCAAAGCAAGTCATTAATTTTTTTCCTATTTCCTCATCTGTTAAAATGGAAGCAGCTCCTCTGTCCAAGCTGTGTGCACATCCTCAGATAATACATTCATAAAATTTTGCAACAATTCAGCTTAAACTGTGACCAAGACTACCAATCTTTAAATAAATTTATTTATTTTMATTTGTTTCATGGAGAAGAAACATTTCTGTGGTCAAACTGCACCATATGTGCTTGGAGGACTTGAAATGAATATTCCCAATTATTCTGATGGATTCATCCAATTTTTGGCCAAAGCTTACAAATATGTGGAGATCCAAAAACTGTGAACTTCACTGAAGTTTTGTGGAAACTGTAAGTGCAGAGGAAAGGGAGTAGAAATGTCCAGGTTGGAGAAGAGGTGCTGCATGAGCTGATTATTGTGGTACACTGAAGGATACATATGGTGTGTGCACCCAGAAATRTAAATTAACAATTATTTGGGATCACAGACTCCTCCTGCCATTTATATATTCTGTTTGGGAAATAAAAACAACTTCAGGTGGAGTTTTTACATTCTTAGACTTCAAAGTATAAACCACGAGGTTCAAACTGTTTTTTCTCATTCTGATAATCACAAAGTCTTTGGGGCTCTTTGTCTTTCTCTCACCAAGGTTACGGGAATCCATCCRGAATGCAAAATATTCCAGCAGGTGGTCAAAGAGGAGGCTCTGTGCTTGGAGCACAACGAATCTGCCTCAYCTGAGCTTAAAGGTAAAGGTCCTGATGGTCATTTGACATTACTGAAGTGTTTTGTGTGTTCTTTATTTATACCCAGAGCTCCAAAGAAACTCCCACAGAAGGCACTGAAGACGCTGCTGAGATTATATTGAGCTGGKAATCATTCCAATCTGGTGAACATGCTCTTGGGGGAAGAAAATGAACAAAAAAACCTGCCCAAGTTTTTCAAAATATTTCATTTTACAATTTCAGACRTTATTTCTTTGCTTGAAAAAATTTATTTTGATATTGTTTAGWAGTCTATTACATGCTCAGATATAAATTTTGAAAACTGAAATGAACATGCACCAGAGCCCGCAAAATATATTTAGAATGCTCTGTAGGGTGTTGGTTCCTGGGGTTTTGGCATTGTAGAAATAGGCTTAGAAATAATTCAATGTGAAATTTCAAAATGTTCAAACTCCTCCAAACATTCAGTCATMTTTTTTTCTGGTCAACTTTGCTTAGAAAAATTTGCATCCACCTCAGTGAGATTTTTTTGGGTTCCATGAATTTTAAGGTGTTTCTTTTCTGCAGAGAAATTATGAGACAAAGTTGCCTCATACGTTTGGTTGGGATAGAATTGTTGAAACCACTTGGAATTTTGCCTTTAGCAGCCTTTGAAAATCAGGGTCCAGAATATTTCATTCATATTTCCAGCCACTCTAATGTTTCATATTCCTCTTCTGGTTTCCAACTCTGTTTCACTTGTTTTCCCTCACACACACTTCCATGAATTCCAAAATACCTCTTGGACACATTTTGCACTTGGAACACACAGTAACCCATCCAAAAATGTTCTAATATAAATCAGGCATTTTCAAAAATGAGTTATTACATGCTTTACAGGATGTCACTCCAAGTATCCCCCTCTTTACCACACAAATAATTACACAACTTTGCAATTCTCTTTGTAGCAAAGGTTACTCAGGGAAATAAAAATCTCCAAGAGTTCTGTTAAACTATTCAAAAAACTTCACCTTTGTCCACTCTGAGCTTCTCAAAGGTTCCATTTCCACCTTTTATTCTCTAGATATGGAAAGACTTWAATGAAAGTCTCTTGTGGTATTTACATCCTTTCTCCATATATTTTTATATAATAAAATTAAAYTAAACATTAGATCAGGAAATTAATCCCAAATATTTTACCTGGAGGATAAAACTATGTAAAAGACAGGTAAAAGCCCATAGATTGTGTTTCAGTTTCCAGAACTCAGCAAGACAAACAGAAGGATCACAAATCCTAGAGTTCCTTCTCAGCAGTTACAGAGCATCTGTGCTGGAATCAGTCCGTGTTGCAGTATTGAATCTAAAGTATTTCCACATTATTCTTGTTGTACAGATCAGTGTCCAATGAGTGTAATCTRCAGAGCCCAGGGTGCAATTTCTCTCATTTTGGTGCAATTCCTCTCATTTTGGTCTAGTTTCTCTCATTTTGAAGCAGATGTGTAAAATGACTCAAGTTCTAAACCCCACTGGTTTTTCCTGCCTCCACTGTCTGAAAATCCTGAATTACTGAACAAGACTTGGATATCTGTGGTGTAAACAAACACAGATACAACTCCTACTGCAGTTGTCTTCATGGAATCTCAGGTGATTTGCACACCACCAGTTTCTCAAAACCCCTGGCACAAAAAAATTCCCTTTCAGCCTCTGCACTCAGGGGTYTCTTTGATATAAACTGTAGAAGTCACTGGATATGGAACCAAATCTAAAACTTAAAGCATGCAGGTTCCATCCCTCACCCAAATATAATTTTAAACTCCACATTGCCAARTAAAACAGATTTTTAAATTTGTTAATTAGACAATTAGCAGCCGAGGTTAGGCTGTAATCATCAGTGAGAGTCAGGTATTTGCAGGGTGTGATTCATCCTGTCCTCAGGAAGGAGCCGCAGTATTTGGGATGAATCAGCTCTGGAAGTCGCTGTCTGTTCTGCCGATCACAAAGGGAATGTAGTCAAGATTAGCTGACATATTTTAGGCAATTAAAATTACAGCTAATGAATCAGGGCCTCTATTTCCCCTGGAAAATTGGTTATACCAGGAATTTCATCTTCCCAAGGGTGATGTGAGGGTAACACTGTGGGAGGTTCTCAGGACTGTCTTTTTGAAAGCCAGACARTGACTTTGCTCAACTACGGGCAAATATTGCTTCCACATTCGAGCTCTTGACAACTTTGGTTTTGCCTTGTCATCTGTCACTGATGCAGCAGTGAAGACTCATGGAAGAAAATAACACGTCCCAAACCAAACCCCTGCTTTGTACCCACCTTACGACAGCCTAGAGATCAGTTTTGTTTGAAGCACAACCGTTTTTTTATTATTATTTCAGGCACATTTACACGCTGGCAGTTTTTTCTGCGCTGCCCCCGTACCCACTTGCCAGAGGCTGGGAAGTCTCRGTGTGATGCAGCCGTGACAAAGCTGTGATTCACTGAAACTCCTGGAAACCCTTTTTAGGGGACTCAGAGGCAGCAGCCCACCMTGGGCCATCAGCCAGCAGGCTCTGCTTGAGGGAACCTCATGAATTCCAGCCAGTCAGATCTACTCCCAGAGATGCTCATTTTTCATGTTGTTCTCTGGGTTTGGGATGAATCTTATCCCTTTGGAAACCCATTGCAAAAATGCCATTGATTGCCTAAGACTGGTGCTTCAGCCCTTATTTCCTTTAAGCCAGGTGAAACTGGAAGGTTCTTAAACATGAAATCAAGAGGTTAAGGCTGAATTTTRAGTCAGATGTATTTTGGTTAGATTTCGTAAATTAGTAACCTCAAGTAATGAGAAAAGAGTAATGAGAAATCTCCAGTGCTAATCATTATTCAATATTTTTATTTGGGTGGCTTTTGTGTTAACAATAGAGAAGAGCTCCAATTGATTTGACTTTCAGATTGTGTCTGCTTCAATTTCAGGTACATTCTCTCATGAGATAWGGAGGGGTAAGGTCCAGCTGGAATACCAAGTGTGAGCAAGGATGCATTCAAGGAGAAAAGGAAAACATTCCACTCCTTCATTTGCAGAGCTGCTGTGGCTCTTCTTGCATGTGAATGAGTGGGAAAGCCACAGACAATCTCATTATGGAAGATAAATGTGTGATGTTCTCTKTGTTTTTCTTTATTTAGAGGAACCTTTTTTTTTTTACAGGATGTGCCAGAGATTGGGATGGTTTAACCTGTTGGCCCAGAGCCACTTTTGGGGAAGTGGTTAAAATTCCCTGCCCACAATTCTTTGAAGAATTCACCAGTACACATGGCAAGAATTTTTCCTTATTCTTTTTATCCTTACCTTTAAAAAAATTATTATTATTTTAAATTAATTGTAGTGGTTGAGGATTCCTTGATATTTTCCTGGTTCACAATGCTCTTATGTCARTCAGCATTCAGTAATTACCCAAATACACATCTTGGCTTGGGGTCAATATTATCACCCTTTTGTTTTGTGTTATGCTGTGCTGAATAGTTTAATCACTTTGAGGATCTAAAAATGATGGACAGGTGCATCACATTGCTAAATTTATAAAGGAGTATGCCACAGAATCACTGGTTTATAAAATTGTACAATAATTAATATTAGAAAGAACTTCCTGAGGCCATCCAGTCCAATCCTCCAGTCAGAGCAGGACTGAGATCAAAACTTGTGTGGAGCTTCCAGCATACAGCAGGCAGCTCAGGGCTTTGCCCACAATCCCCAAAAATGCTGTAAATGTATAATTTGATCTTCTCCACAGAAGGAATGAATTTGCACAGTTGATTTCCCACATGAAACACACAAGTCCCACTGCATCTTAAAATGATTGCGAACATCTTCCTCAATTTTTCAAAGGATAGACATATAGAATATTGCAACTCTAGAGCTAATCTTGCTGAACATGAGTAAACCTCCGAGTCCTTGATTTAGGAATCAGAGTGGGAATAAGAAATTGTTGTTACTCGTCAAAACTTACAGAACACCAGCACCACCACCACCCCTAATTAATTCCCTGCTGTATTTTCCCACTGAAGGTTTCCTTCAGAGGAACTGCACCCAGGAGGAGCATTGGTCTGAGCCATTCCCACCCTACACCGTGGCCTGTGGGTTTGATGAAGGTTCCAGTAAAGGACCTGAGGAGCAGGTGGGGGTTTCATTTCCTGCTTCCAAACATCTCCAGAGAACCSTCTCCTGAGGAGCTGGATGCTCTACGCATATGATCCAATAATTACCCATTTTGGGTGCTAAACTCAAAACTTTTAGGTATATCTAGAGTTTGTTTAACAAATTAGCATATTAGCATAGAGAGAGTGAGCAGCAGTAAGCAATTTCCTCTCCATCCAAATGCCTCTTCTTGGTGTTAATGACCAAACTCATGATTAGTTCATTTGTCCAACCTAACAAAGACTTTGGTTCTCTGGCAGAGGTGATGTGAATCCTCATCACACACCCACTTCCCAGGCAAGCTCCACCCACTTATCCGCCGGGATTTTTTCAGGGAGAATTCCTTTGGATCCCTTTTCCAGATTTTCCTTGAGTCATAAGAAAACATTTTATAGCCCAGTGGTCAACACACATCCCTAGAAGGAAATTTTTGAATGCCACTGAGTATTTCCATACTTTATCTCAAGTGTTCAGTGGAGCAGAAAGTGAATGTATTTCCTATCTGATAATCATCACTTGTGCTCAGTTGAGGTCCAGCAGCATTTCTGTCACATCCACATCTTGATATGATTTAAATTTCCACGTTCCTTCTCATCRTACTGGAGTTCATATCTACAGCTCAATCCACCTCCTATAAATAATAACAACAATAAGAAACTCTGCACTTTGGGGGAGCTAGAAAGATAAATGCTTGAAAAGCTGAAATAAGTCTTGAAAGCCTCCTGGAAGGAGGATGCTGGAAATGATGACAACAATTCAGAAGGGATTTCAGGTTCATAAAAGGATGCATATTCTGGAGCACAGTTCTGCAGCCCATGGGGTTCTCCCACAGGGTTAAAATCACTCTCCAGGTGGCTTTCTCCAAGCAATCTCTGGATCATGCTAAACCAGGAATATTTTCTGGCTGATCTAGCCTAAAATCAAGCAGGGAATGATATTTATATTTCAACATGATAGCAGATTTCAGTACAGAGCTGCTGTTGGTACTCTGGCAGCGTTTAGTTTGTTATTTATCTTGTTAAATCCTCAAGTTTTGACCACAAAAAGAAGATAAGATCAGCATGCTGATCAGCATTGCTGATCAGTTTGCTGCATTGCAAACAATGGCAAGTGAGTAAAACTCCCAATTGAATCATAAGCGAATCACTTGCTTTGTATCTTATATCAGCACTTATGATATCTTCTGTATAAAGTGTTATTTTTCAATCCATCCCACAAAAACAGATAAATGAATCCAAAAGATCCATCATTCAATTGAAGAATCTGTTTTCTTATTTYCATCTGTGTTTTGAAAATACTGTATAAAAGATCAGGGCTATTTCAGAAACACCAGGATGATTCCTATGTCAGGGTTATAAGGTCTGTTTATAGATTAGCTTAAAATTCCTAATCTGTTACCTCAACCAAGAATAGCAGCCTTTTGGATAAACAGATTTGGGATCAATTAGAGAACAAAATGTCCACTGGGTTTATGAGGAAGAAATTTGCCTGGGTTCAGAGAATTTAGTTTCTTGGGATTTCAAATAATTAGCTGATCTTGTCGTGAATCACAATAAAATTTGCATAGTTAAAGCCAAGTAGACAAACTTTATTTTCCTTATGACACAGGGTTAAGATTTATTAGGATATAAGTCTAAATTAAAACCAAATTAACAATAAAGAATTTACAGTGCTATAATATACAGCAAGGAACAAACTGTTTGTCCAGAGAATTAAGGACTGTGAGGGGATTTTTCTTGGTTTTAACTTACYTCCACATTCCATCAGGTTGTTTCTCAATGTTTCGGCTTCCTCACCTGCAAATTGAGAGTTTTATTTCTCTCTCAGCTATAGCTGTTTAGGAAAATCAATAATTATTGCACCTGGCCCAGGTCTAAAGTGACAGATTCACAAATCACCCACCAGAAGGTTTCAACGCCCTGGAGWTTTTTATGTATTGACATAAGAAAAGGTAGTTACTGATCATAGTTAATATTTTCATGTTGAACTTACCCAGGGAGGTCAGGTGAGCCTGTGGGCTGTTGAAAATGTCTTCTGTGTAGAGTGAAGCAGGATTCCAAGGAAAACTTTTGTTAGTRGTGGAGGGAAAATCCCAAAGCAGATCTCGAACATGCAAACAGCACAGAGGTGGTGGGACTGACCAGTGAGGGAAATGTTTCCCAGTGGAATGAGTACCCCAGGGTTCATCCTGCAGAACCTCCTCTACTGGGCTGTGTCTCTTTTCCCCACAGAAATCCTATTATTCTGCATTTTGGCGTGTCTACACAGCCGGCTACGCGGCATCGGTGACTTCGCTCATTACGGCTCTAATTGTCTTTGCTGCCTTCAGGTAAATAGAAATGGGTTCTTTTTCAGGAAGTCTTAACTCTCATCCTAATTTCTCTCAGACCCTCTGGGGTTTTGTTTTGTAGGTTTTTTTAATGGTTATTTTCTAATCATTCTGAGGTGTAACACCGGTCAGGGAGTTGTGCAGAGCCACAGGGTCCTCCCTGAGCTTCCTTTGCTTCCGGCTGAGCCCCTTTCCCAGCTCCCTCAGCTGCTCCTCATCAGATTAATGCACTTTAGGGTAACTGCTGTGGCAACCATTCCATAACACTGAACTGACACCAATTCATCCCTCCCTTTACCTGTGCAAGCTTATTCAACAAAAAGAATATTATTAAAAATAATTAAAAGGCATTATCATAATCCATCCCAAGAATCCCACAGCTACTCTCTGCTTCTGGCACCTCCTTTAAATGTGTAATGATCTAAGGATCATTATCCTGGAGCTTTTTTTTTGGCCCAAACAGGTCACAACTGCTCTGCTCCCTCATGTCTTTCTCCCTCTCCAACAGTGACAGAACATTCATTGTTTTGCAAGGTGTCTGCAGCCTTGYRTRTTYCTGTTTGACTTGTGATGAGACCACRAGGAATTTCTMTGAAAGAACCACTTTTATMTTCTCTTCCCRTGCCAGAAAATTCCACTGCACCCGGAATTACATCCACATGCACCTGTTTGTCTCCTTTATCCTGAGAGCRATCGCTGTTTTCACCAAAGATGCGGTTTTGTTTGCAGATGAAACTATGGACCACTGCCTGATGGCCACGGTACTGCACTTCCCCTCTCCTTTAGCCTTGATTTCACATTTAATTCTTTACCTGAAAATGACATGGAGATCTTTTAATCCTATTTCTCCTAGTGCTAAAATTGAAATCTTAAAGCAAGCAACATTATATAATCCCAAAGACCAAGTGCTAAGG